GGGCCGGTACGACCCTTAAAAAAAGCAAAAGAAATGACCCGGCCCGGCCCGGCCCGGCCCGGCGGGACCAAAAAAAAAAACCGCGACCCTTACCCGGACCGGATTGGCCGCGGTCCGGGTCGAAAAACCGGCACTATTCATGCCGGTACCGGTACCGGGCCGGGCCGGGCCGGTACCGGGTCACGGGTCGGGCCACGGGCCGGGCCGCCCGTGGCCATGTCTAGTTCGGCCCCGTGGACATGTCTTATTAAATCCAATCAAAATTCAAAACCAAAAGGTCTAATCACCCTAACAGATTTGCTCAAGAAATCTCACGAGGATTACAAACACGAAAATAAATAAAAAATATATATATATAAAAAAAAGGGTAAGAGACAGTTTTGAAAATGTCAGAAGAAATACCAAATTAGGAAAGCCCAAAAACACCACATATTTTTATAAAAATGGTCCAATCTTCCAAACATTGTACCTTCACAATGTGTGTCTTCTGCCAACTGTTTTATTGGATTTAATAATTGATTTGCCCATCATGTGTTCCCTCATTTTCCAATTTTTTATTTTTATATATATAATATTTTTTTAAAAAAAATTATATTTAAAGTAGTACTATTATTTTCTCACCTAATTACACTTTCCTTTTTCAACTACATTACGTACAGTACTTTCGACTTTATTACATATATGTATGTGTAAAATCTATTATTTTGATTTTATTTACTGTAAATAGAAAAGAGATAAAGTTACGATTTTTTATTTTTATTTTTATTTTTATTTTTTTCTTCTGCAAAGGAAAGAATCTAATATTAAATTTGGGTCTGACCCAAAACTACGTTCATTAAGAGGAATCAAAATCTTCCACTCTTATCTTTTCTTATATTTTAATTTTAATTCAATTTATCTTTTTAAATAAATAACATTGATAATAATAATAATAATAATAATAATAATAATAATAATAATAATAATAATAATAATAATAATAATAAAGTAATTTATAAATATAACAGCTTTCAGAAAACAATTTTTTATAAGAAATATTTAAATGCAACATGAATAAAACTAGAAGGAACCCTAATATTAAATAATAAATGATGACGTCACGGATGATGAAATCTTACACCTATGTGATATGTGCAGTATAATATTGCAATCCCAAACAATATAATACATCAATATGGGGATTTGGTAAGCCATGCCTAATTATTTAATCCTGGTTTATATTAGTTTATACATGCAATTGTATATGGATATATTACTTACAAAAAAATTAAAGAAATAAAATCAAATCAAATCATTTAACTAGATCTCATCTTAAGATTTTGATCAAATTACTTTGAGTCTATGGGTGAGCAAAATCGAGCTGAAATCGAAAATTCGAAACGAACCGTGCAATTCGGTGCGTTTCGGTGCAGCTCTTTTAATGTAAAAATTTTTCGGCTTGATTTCTATTTGGTATTTTCTAACATTTCAGTGCGGTGCGGTTAGAGTTTTTCATAAGTTCGGTGTTCGGTTTTGTTCGGTTTGGTGTGGTTTTGTACCAAACCGCACCAAATTGAATAAAATGTATAAAAAAAAAAAACCAAAAACTGAGCCGAACAATGCATTGTGGTGCGGTTCGGTTTGGTTCTGTTCGGTTATTTTAGTGTGAAAGAATTTCGGTTTGGTTTTTTCTAGGTTGTTGTCCGGTTCAGTTATTTTTTTTGCTAATTTAGGTTTTTGCGGTTCAGTGCGGTTTTTCACAGAACTGCATCGCTGACAACCTAACTGTTATGCGAGTTGATTTGTAATAATTTGTGAAAAAAAAAATGTACACATACTATTAAATGACATTACTGTTTATATTTTTTTTACAATGTAATAGTAAAATATATAAATAGTTGTAAAGAAAATATGTCCTTTGCACAATCTCCATATATTTCTAGTATGCATATGATGTACATCAACAAATTTCAGTTTCTTATATTAAATATTGTTTCATCTAAGTTGAGAAAACTAAAAGTAAGTATAAATATAACAAATTAAATGTGACAATAATGTTTGAAATTGTAGAATATGTCACTGGTTTGTTATAATCAAACACATCCTGCTAAAAATTACCAAAACAAAAAAAGGTATAAAAATACCACTGATTAATTGCATAAAAATTAAAAATACCACTGATTAATTACCAAAAAAATAAAAATAAAACGTAATTTTATCTCAAACAAAAACTTTCACACAGTCATTTTATTTATTTAATTTATCTTATATATATATAAATTAAATATTATAAAATAAAACGTAACAAATGATGACATGTTGTGTGTGATACGTATGTTATGTAGTGAAGATAGGATATATATCCTCCCCATATATAATTCCCGAATGCGCTGAGCCTACGTGGCTGCTTCTGGTGCTTCGGAATCCTATTTGGTGAAGAATCATACTTCGTAATTAGGTTTGGATAAATAATATTGATATATTAATTAATATAATTAATAATTCCCGAATGCGCTGAGCTTACGTGGCTGCTTCTGGTGCTTCGGAATCCTATTTGGCGAAGAATCATGCTTCGTAATTAGGTTTGGATAAATAATATTGATATATTAATAATTAATAATCTAGGTTCGGGTATTGCATAAATATTATTTAGTCAACTTAGGTATTTTAATATCACTTTTACTAATATAACCCTTTAATTTTTTGTAATTTTAGTATTTTACATAGTGAGGCACTAAGTGACTAATATATCCCTGAATTTTGATTTGTTTCCTTCAATAAGCTATTGAATTATAAATGTATTTTAAAAGTTGATAACTTTTGTATTTCTTATCGGTTTTACATATATAATATATCAAATTAATCATCTTTTGACGATCTTCGATTTGACATCCATATTGTATATATGAAATAAATAAATTATATTTATCTTTATAATAATAAAAAATAATAATATTTATTAAAATTCATTAGAAAAATAAAATTATTTCTCAATTGATATATTTATATGTAATGTAGTTATATATTGTAAGTTAAAAAAAAATAGTATAATATAACACAAGTAAGTTGCACAAATAAAAAGTGTCATAATAAATATATAATAATATATATATTCTTGTAAAAGGTATTTAAATTTTCAAACTACTTTTTCTCATTAATTTTAGATTTTCAGAAAAAAAATTAACAAATACCCGTGTAATACACAGGTGTTGTACTAGTATTATATATATATATGAGTTTGTTTTAGCTTTTGAAAACTTTAGTATGGTTAGGTTAAGTCGCTCTCATCATAATAGCCGATGTCTGTTTGATTTGCTTTTTTGGCCAAAGAGAACAGATTCAAAGGACATCCACGATTGCGACAATACATTACTTATTATTTTACTCATTTTTTTTTAACACAATTTGTACTTTATTTTATTTTTATTTTTTTTTTCCCCTTAACTTTCTTAAAAANNNAAAAAAAAAAAAAAAAAAAAACATTTTCAGTGGTTTATTGTCGTAGCAATTTTAGTCACAAGATTTCAAATTTTCGCTTTCTGGTCATGTGATCTAATATTTTACTGCAAATTCAGTCCTTCGAAGAAAGAAATTGCAAACAAAATTTTAAATTACAGGTCTGAGATCGTAATAAAATTTGGAATTACAAGACTTAGAATGCTACTGAAAAATCCATCCTTCAAACATATAATTTGACAATTTATTGCAATTTCAATTCTCAAATAGCTGAAACTGCAACAAGTACTAAATTACAAGACCAAAAGACGAAATGTTAAAATCTTGAAACTAAAATTGCTATAGCGTTAAAACTAATTATAGGACTAAAAATTCTGGCCTTAAAATCTCATTGCACACAACATAACATATACTTTGAACAAAAACTTTTCTTTTGAACAAATTTTTGTTAGACGAGTCTGACGTGTCATACAATTGTTTTTAATAAAAATGCATGTTTATGCTATGGATTATTATATACTTCTATTTATAGAGTATGTGATTTTAATTTAAAAATATGAATATATGTTGAAAAAATATGACGGTCTAACTTAAATCTGCTTAACATTCTTACAATACATAACTAGCCTTAAGATTATGACATAAATCTAGTCACATAAAATCATTAGAATAAGTCACTGTAAGAAATGATGAAATTTCAACGGAAATCTATTCCAAAAGAATTATTCCAATGACTATTTTAACGGATATTTCAATACTATTATTTCTGTTGAAATTTTTCAATCGATGCCAACGGAAATTCCCACAAAAATATTCCGTTGTAATGAGTTTTCCATTGAAATTTCCGTTGAATTTTGACGATTCCAACGGTGGATTTTCCAACGGGGGTGGAAATAAAAAATCCAACGGAATTTGCATATTCCAACGAAAATTCCGACAGTAAAAAATCGCTGGAAATAAAGTCGTTGGAATCATCAAATTCCGTCTAAAATTCCAATGAAAAAACACATTTCAACGGAATATTTCCATTAGAACCATTCCAACTGAAGCTATACCATTGGAATATTCGTTGGAATTTCTATTGGAACATATTACCATAAGATTTTATGTTGGAATATAACAATTATTTTGTAGTGGGTGCAAAAGTTAAATATATCTCACCAAACACAGATCATCACAAGCTTAAGTTGAATAAAAAAAATAATTCATATTAATTGAATGACCTACACAATAGTGTTATATCAATTCTTCAATTTTTGAAGACTAAATCAAAATTCTCATGAAAACCTTAATTTTAGGAGTTAATTAGCACTTCATTAATACAAATTTTCACCACTATACACAATCCATTTTTCCTAATAATCCCTAATTATGTAATAACAACTATCTCCATAGAGTCAAACAAGGAGATACATACTCACACAAAGCATTAATTTTTATTTTTATTTTTTTATCCCAAACTTACAGAGATATATGGAGACAATCTTTCTTTCTCCCTCCATTAGCCGAATCAGACGAAAAAAGAAAATCGACATACACGATTATCGGGTATCGAACGACATTGATCAAGAGGGTCGGTTCGAAAACTGAGTCCCGTTTTGTTGCGACCAATTATTATTATTATAATTATTATTATAATTATAATTACCGGGTCTCATCTGGAATCCTGATGATGCTGCAGCATTGGCAAAAACCGGAACGCCTTGAAAATTATTACCATTCGTTTGCCATTGCTGTAACTGTAATTCATTTCTCGAAAACAAAATCTGATCCTGTGTTGGATTAATTTCTTAACTCATCAAAGTCAGTTTGACAAAAAAAAAAAAAAAGAAGATAAAATATAGTCAGAATTGTTTCGACAAATAAATAAATAAAACCATCTAAAAAATTCTTACACGATGATTGAACGAGTTAAACTGTACTGGGCCAAGCATTTGACCAAATGTGTGATGATGGGATTCGTTTGTTCTACTGGACGGTCCATATCGTTGAACGTGATTGTTCGTCGCCTTAAACGAGCCAGGGGAGTTCAGGCGCGCTTGGCTTAGAAGCTGCAAAGTTTCTGTCTCGGGATTGGATAAGCTGTCCCGTCTCCTAGAGTTCTCGGTGCCAATTGATGTAGAGTTGCCCAAACTAAGATCAAGATTTTGGTCTGCTGCATTATTCGGAGGCTCTGCAGCTTTGAGTTCTTCTTTATAAGTACTTGGGTCAAAATTGGTGACAGCTTCTTTCCCATTACATTTGATTGCTGCTTTATCATAAGCCCTTAAAACATGACAACAACAACAACAACAATAAAATTTTCAAAATCCCCCCTCAATTTGAATCCTTTTAACTATCTAGCTAGTTATCACATTGTCATTTTTTCAACCAAAAAATTTAATAAAAAAAAAAAAAAAAAAAA